ATTTATTCATTCTGCGTTTATTTGCTTCTAATGCGGTATACCAACGAATTAAGTGTATGAAAGGTATTATCTAACACTTGTAGAATTTTATAACCAAAAGCACAGCTTAAACGATAAAAAACGGTTAATATTCTAAATAGCAGAAAACGTGTTCTTTTCAAACTTCTACACGTTCCATATTTAATAATACAAAAATACATTGGCTATTATTTAATGTATCAATTTTGACAGGTATTTTTTCATTTCTGAACATTCATGTAAAGCTCTTGATTTGTTGCAATGGTCTATTCTGTCTTATTTTGCTTCTTATTAATCATCCTACAAATGAAGACTATGAATGTTTCCAACTTTGATAATCATGCCCTGTATCGTGACAAGAAACGCTCGACATCCAACTGCAACGCGTGTGCAAATCCATCTCTTCTTTAAATATGTGCTATGTCGTTTGCTGAGACTGAATTTATATCCCCGATACAGGACCATTTCATTTCCGCGTACGGAAGTAAAAAATGTCAATTCTGAAAGTATGAAGAAATTTCTTAAAATCTAGTTCGCATAACACAAATTGTTTATTAGCCACACGTATAAAATAATGAACATCTCTTTACGTTGAAACACTCCAATCATATTCTTATAAAAACTTAACTATCGCATTCTACGAAAATGTGAATAAATAAAACTTTATTTCACTGGGTTGTCTGGAAGAACGTGCTTTCAGCAGTAAGACCGCCAATTTACTTTGTCTTCCGTTATTTTTTCTCCCGTTTTGCGTTATTGTAAATAAAGCTGTTCTCAACTAGAGTTTAAAAGTAATAAAGGTATATCAAATGTCTCACATTAATAAGAGAAAATAACCTTCTTAGCTATTAATTATTTATTATTCGCTAACAAAAGGTGTATTACTTCTTCGAAATCTTGTTGTCTCTTATACCGAAAATTACCTTAACTTAAAAATTGCAAGTATGAATATTTCCAATTTTTACAATTTCGTCATCTACGGTCACAAGGAACGCTCGACATCCCCCGCAAACGCGTGTACAAAACCATCGTTTCTTAAAATCTGTGCTCTGACGTTTATTTAGACTATATTTATATCCTCGATACTGTGCCATTTTATTCCCTCGGTTGGAAATCAAGATCTTCAGTCCACCTGAAATTGAGTAACAATGACAAACACAGGGCAAGGCAAGGGCTTATAAAAGACAAATTCCGCTCACAAATGAGAACCTGGATAAAGCTTGAACGATATCTTTGATGAGTAATAACTATCTTTCTTTTTCTTAGTTAACTATTCTTCTTTCTTCTTAGTTAACGGACCTTTTTCATTGTCCGTTGAGTGAACTGGTAAAAGTTATATTATTTGTTAGTGCCTATACGTAGTAGTTAGTAAATTTATTGTATTTTTTATTATGTAATTTTGTTTTTCCCAAATTATTTCGTATGATTGCTTTTTTTTGTTTCGTCTGTAAATTTTATTCACTTTTTGTTCACTTTTGTCAATTTAGGGTCGCCTGTTAGGGCAGGAGTGTTTTTATAAATAAATCTTGATTGAACATTCAAGGCAATTTTTTTTTTACAGATTACCGATTACAATAATTAAAACGTCATCTAACGAAGTCATCGAAATAGTTCTTCCAATAACTGCAGCGCTGATGTCTCAAACATTTGAATTAAGGGAAAGAAAATCAACTCATATAAGGAGGAGGAGGACAGAGAGTAGTCAACAAGATATAATCGATTGTTTAGACTAGACTCTAGAGATTCAGTTTGGTGGAACGTTAGACGAAAAAAATATATTAGTTTTTATGCAACCTTTACGAACAGAAATGTTCAATTGAAACAAAACATGAGCTGAGTCCAGCCTATTGTTACACAGTTTATAACGAACCCTAGCATCCAGCAGATCCTTACGGCGTGAAATTGGTTTTGGTTTTGTAGTGCTGTCGCTATACGAGGTTTTTTTTGATTAAGACAAGTATTGTGACAACATTATGTTCACACACGGTTCGTCTTTTATCGTTTTATATTCTCACCCACCTTGTTTCCCCGATGGGCAAGTATTTACTTAATACAAACTTTAACAATTAAACCTACATTATTGCATTTTAACCAAACTGGACAACTCTCCACATTAGAATGTTCAGTGCTGGGTTTTACTAAAAACAGATTTATAAAAAAAGAAACAAAAATAATGAAAGAATGTTGATTTAATTGGTCAAACTATCACTTGTTCTCTTGTGAAACATTAAGCGTGAATGTGTGTATTTTCTACTTTTATAATACAGTCATCTACGGTCACAATAAATGCTTTACACTTGGCTTTGCAACAGCGCCATCTTCTTTTCCCTTTATGACTTTTATGAAGGCCGAACTTATATCCTTGATACTGTATAGTTTCATTGCCCCGTTTGGAAAGGAAAATCTTAAGTCCACCTGAAATTGAATAACTATTAATACTTCAACAAATATTTATAAAAATGCAAATGCCACACATATATATGTGCACACGAAATGAAAGTAGTTGTAATGTAATGTTAGTCTTGCCAAAATAAATGTCTATATAAGAAACAAATCTATCATTGAGCGATCCTAAGCGAGTTAGTTATTGTTTCGGGTTGGTTTTTCAAAGACCATTTTTCGTTTAGTTGTCAAGTGTGGCTGTCACATGCCGTATTTCAGTATGGGACAACTTGGTTATAAAATGTTGTTTAATTTTTAACTAAGTGTACACCTATGTACAGTACATAGAGTAATATTATAATCACATTTATAATACATTTTATTCAAATTTAGTTTTAAAATTGCGTTTTGCCCTTAATATTAAATTGTTCACATTTGATTGGATCGCTTAAAGGTACCTTTGATGTAATTGTAGGCGGGTTTTTTGCTTGTTTGCACCTCATTGGCAACGACTTTGTTGACCATCCATGAACATTCACTCCAGTATCAAACTGGTGGCATATAGGTAGATGCTCCTATGTCCTATTAATTATGGTATATAAAGCTGGATTACCACGGTTAATTTCTTCATCGCCTTTTACTTCGAGGGGGAAATAAAAAGGGAAGGGGAAGGAGTTATGACGTTACACATTGATGTTTAAAAAATTAAAGTTGGCGCCTGGTAGTATGGGTGACTCCAGAGCTGGTGCTTTCCTCGTTCAACCAGCTGCCAGAGTAAAAGGTACACTGCCACATGGACAAAACTTTTAAATTTCTTTGAATTTTCTATTTATAAATAATTAAAAACAAATTAATTAATACATAAATTAATGGTTGTGCGAATTTTCTACTTTGAACAGTTTATTATCTACGGTCACAATGAAAGCTTTGCATTTGGCATTGCCACAACGCCATCTTTTTTTCCAATCCATACTATGGGTTTTGTGAAGGCCGAACTTGTATCCTCGATAGACTATAGTTTCATTTCCCCGTTTTGAATAAAATACTTGTATGTAATCTAAAATAAATAATATAAGGCTAAAGAATTTATTTCGTAGATTGTGTGAATCTCAGGAACTGTGAATTAGAATTTTTTCGATTGACTTTTTGTTTTTATTTATTGAGAAAAGTAACATCAGAATGTGAATGAATAACTGTATAAATGAATACACAAGACCTTTTAATATTACACAATTATTAAATATTTATAAAATTCTGGTAAAATGATATTAGTTTAACGTTTAAGCATGTCCTAATTTCTTCCTAATTCGGCTTAGCAAATCCTAACCCTAATATTAAATGATTTAAATAACTCTTTAAAAATTATTATACATTCGAGCAATAGAGGCTTCTTTAATACCTTGGAATGCTAAAAACCTATCGAAACACAAGGCCCGCTTGGTGACTGAAAATAAAAGTCTGATGAAAATGATGTACTAAGTAGAACAGCAGAGCGCCTTTGAAAATTGGAATGAGCAGAATTTACAAATTAATCTTTCAATTTCCTGCTTTCCTGATTACTATATAAAATCCTATATTTTATGAATTTAATTAACAACAACAGCTATCCTTCACAAGAGATATATAATAACTATTTATGATATGAGTGGGTATTTCCAACTTTAACAATTGCATCATTTATTGTCACGAGAAAAGCTCTACAGTAACTGGTAGTGCAAATCCACTTTTTTTTAATGTCCGAACTTTGAGCTTTATAAAGGCTGTAAGTGTATCCTTGGAATCGGACCATTTTGTTTCCTCGTTGGGTTAGCCCAAATGTCAGTTTTCCTAAAACAATTCTATATTAAGGTCAAACAATTATATTATATCTACTTTACTTGAAGTTTACTTTATTTGAAGGTGGTCGATAAAAAATGATTAATTTATTGCCGTGGTGTTCACGTGCACAGGTGCTAATTAAAGATTTAAGTTGGCGCCTGGTAGATGTACCGATGACCCCAGAGCAGAAGCTTTCCCCGTTCAACGAATATGTATCGCAATAAAGCGAGGAAATGCTCCCAGCGTTAAAGGTACACTGCCACAGGGACCAAACTTTTTAAATTTGTTTTAATTTTTTGTTTATTTAATTTTTAATTATTATTATTACTATGGTTAAGAATATTGTAAAGACTGTATATTTCTGTGTTGGAATATCCCTTTTTATGGTAGTATGGAAAATATGCAAAATCGAATACCTAATAGTAGTATAATTAATATTAGTAACATTGAATTAAATGTATATTCTCACAATTATCTTTGACTTGAATTATATTATAAAATTCTATTGCTTTTTTTTATAATGCCACTTAGACATAAATAGTTCAGTACATTTGTCCAATCTAAATTAATAAGATAATTCACAATAAGATGACTTTTTATTAAAAACATCAATTTCAAATCAAGTTATGGATTACACGGATGGAGCGCCGTTACTCTATAAAGTTTTCTTACTATGTTTAAGTTTGCGATATCTAAGCTGAGGACATTTTTTTCTTTGTTGACGAATTTAGTAAATGAATGAGAGTATCAGAAAGTATGAGTTTTCCCGAGTAGCCTTGCTGCTAATGGTTTAAATGGGAATTCCCAATTTTAACGATTTCGTCTTCTACTGTGACCACGAAAGCTCTACATCCTTGTTGCCAGCGAGTGCATCGCCATCTCTTTTTAGATGAAACATTTCGAGACTTCTCAAGACTGAAGTTATATCCTTTATACGAGAGCATTTTATTACCACGTCTTGATTCTATAAAACTAAATTCACCTGAAATTTAAGAAAAACTATTAACAGATTGAGTAAAATTTGATTGTCATTGACTAAAGAAATAGCGGGCTAATTAGTGAAATTAATAATGATAGTGAGAAGTTTTGACAATTTTTTTTATTAAATTTTAACTGTAAGTAACCATTGCATAATGAGTATGATTTTAATGTATCTTTAGTAAAAATATAAGAGATGGAGAAAGTCCTTTTACACAATGGCAGGGGAGTAGATAGAGAAAAACAAAAAAAAAACCATTATATAAGTACCCACAAAACGACATTAATGAAACTCGAGTGAAAGCATAATGAAGCAACATTTCCTATGGTTTTAAAAGTTTATTGACTGACTCATTTTGGCAATGTAAAACAAATTCTAGACAAAAGATATGCCATGTGTTTTTAATTTGTTTATTAGATTTGCAGTATTAAATGATAACTACACACTTACGCAATACATAAAAGCTAAACTCAAGTAACAAATCAACAAATATAAAAATAATACTATGAAGAACGTAAGTCCAAATTATGTTAATTTTTTTCCAAAATAAGTTAAGCGCTAAGCCGAATACTAATTCTCTATACATAATTTTATAAAATTGGTCCTTCGAGTCGCACTTAGCTGCTTGGCGCTGCATGCGCTAACAATACGTTACGCCTGTCTTATTATAAATATATTAATGTAAATGATAATTTCTTATTTTGACAATTGTTTCATCTATTGTTACAATGAAAGCTCTGCAACCACGGCTGGTATGTGTGCAACACCATCTGGCCTTTATTTCATTACTATTCCTCCTGTCAAGGCCGAAATTAAACCCTTGATATTTTAACATTTTATGACCCTGCCGAGATATTACGAAAGTCAGCTTTCCTAAAAAACAGAAAAATTGCAACGATTGTAAAAATTACGGAACTGACATGTTGACATGACAGACACACATTTATTATAATAAATTAGTTTACAATTTTATAAACAAATAAATTATAATGTAACATTTATTAAAAACATAGATTTTACATAACGGGTTTATTGGAAATATAATTTTAGCTTAAATTAATAAAAAAAATTTGATCGATATACAATTATAAGTAAGAACATATCGTCATAGTCGTAGAATAGTGACGGATCTGACAAATAGTAAACTTTACAGGGCAGCCATTTCAAATAATCATGTTTGTTTTTTGGACATAACTTTTTTAATTCATATTCTGTAATTATGAAAACAATATTTTTTATTTTATTACTATAATTGTGTGTTAACTCTATGTGGATGGGATACATTAATTATTTTTTGGTAAATTACTAACCTAAATCTTAAACACTAATCATATTTTGTGAGCATAGCTTAAGTATAACAATAATTCTCATATCTAACATAAGTATGTAATTACAAAAGAAATTACATTTATTAAAATGAATAAATTCTTAAAAATCCCAACTTCAGAGATGAAAATAATAATCAATAAAGCCAGTAAAAAGATGAAAAAAAAAAAACAACCTTTTGCAAAATTATTCAGTCAGACTCATTGTCGTCATCAGTAACATTACGTCCATGAGTTAAACTTCTGAAAAAGTTATGGTATTTCGCAGGTATCATCGATGAACTGCATAGACTAACAAGAACTTTATATTTATCATTACTTATTGGAATTGGACCTTTATAAGCTTTAACTAAAGCTGGAGTTATGTTATTTCTAGTATTGTTTCTAAGCTCAAGGGTCATGACGTATTCATCAGATAAAGCATATTTGTATTGGATTTTTTTACAATCAGTCCCCTCAACACAAACTTCTTTTATGCCTGTCCAAGTAACTTTGTTGTTAGCTGTGTTTTAACCCAGTTCTTATTTTTTATCTGATCTTTAAAATCAAACACTAAAGACTGATTTACGTCTATAACTTCATAAGAATTACCTGTTACTTTAGCCCAACGTACAAGTAATTTCCATTCATCTGGTGTATAAATTGTTTTGTGCTCAGCAGCCCTTTCAATGACACTGGACAGAATCACCCTCGTTTTGGGTGTGTCCCTTTTCAAGAAATCTATGTGTTATATTTATACCATATTCCTTTGCTACATGAGTATACATATTATATACTATGCGATTTCGATTCTGGCCAGCACAATTATCTGACCAGAATCGAAACTGTTTCACACCCTTTGACACAAACTTCTTTATGAAGTCATAAACGCAACTGGCTACTTCGTTGGCAATAACTTTGTTTGTCGACCATATCGTATATGGTAAAATTTGCCCATGAGGACACGACAAAACCTTTTGAAAATCAAATGTACACAAACAATGCGTCCATTAGAATTTATAGCGTCATTTTTATCTTTTTGTTTGATAGTGCGTGATACGTTTTTGTTATTTAAATGATTTGCGTACTGTTTTTTAAGTTCATCAGATGCATTTTATGTTTGTTTAAATATGTGACACTGATCACAAGTATCCTTTTTGGGTAAATGGAAACTCAAATTAAAATGAGTGTTAACTATGTCCCGATACTGTCTAAGACTAGAAGCTGTATTTGAATAACTATTGATTTCAGGCCATTCTTTGTATAAATTGAACATCCGAGCGATGCTCAAGTCACCATCTAAATACAGCCTTTTGGACGCTGCTCTATTATAATGCGACTCTATTGGTACAAATGATTTAACGTGGGCGCAAACCGACATTACCATGTCTTCGTCAACTATTCGTTTATGATTGTTATGTTTCCCCCTCATGTCTTTTTGAATTAAAGTGCTTCCGTCATACTTATCCCAAGCCGTCCGAACTAATCTTTCGCTAATCGAATATGTACTTAAAAACATGACTTTACAAACCTCTATTTTTGATTAATCTTTTGGCAAAAAATACTTGTAAGTGAATTGACGATTATGCTTCAAAACTCTTTGTAGACCCCTGTGCTTCTGCTGTTTTGTAGTATAATTCGCAACATGCAACCATTGTTTCTCACGAATACCTAATTTCCAAAACTTATCAAATGAAACCTGTCTTTCTTCAAGTGTTAACATAGTGTAACATTTATTTTTACACTCGCAAGGCTTACCCATAGTTTTTGCTGGTACAAGAAGGCCTTTTTTGAAAGAGTATTCTTTTCCACCATTTGTTAAGCGCTTTCTAGTCACATCATAATTTTGGACACGTTTTTTACCTCTACATCGAATAAGAGGCGCTGGAGACGACTGACATGAAGACACAACTGTATTGATTGAGGGACAGTTGCTGTAGTCCGTATCATTATCGTGAGTGGGACATACAAAATCGTTACCTGCTTCACCAGAGGGTTTTGCTGGTGATGGTATAGGTGTTTGTCCGTTATTGTCCACAGCCGGGGTAATCGATTGTAGGAAAGGTGATAAATCTGATATCAAGGTAGTATTTAACAGACTTAAAGCTGAGCTGTTATTTAAGGACAGAGCATGTAGATTTTTTGACGAGAGTAAATCTGGTGAAGCCGCATTTTGATATCCGACCAAAAGAGGATCTTCTTCAAGAAAACAAGTAGAGGATGGTTTGTTTGGGTTAATATTTTCATCTGTAATGCTTTCGTTTATTCCGTGTAAATCGTTTGCAAAGACATTCTCATAAATGTCTTTTATTTTTTCTATTATATTGTGTGCTCCTGGAGGTAATGGTGATTGGAATTCTGAAAACGAATCAGTGTGTAAAAAATATAATATAAATTCTTAATATCCCAAGTTAACGTATACCCCTAAGGTGATTCACATTAAAAATATTCCAAACTAGATAAAATAATTCAATTTACTTCTTTTTATCCACACACGTAGAACATTATTCCGGTAGGATTATTATTTAATATAATAATATACGAAATATATACTTACAAATAATCATAGTTTTTCAGTAGAAAAAGTTGGATCTGAATTTAGTACATAAAAAACATCCTCATTGAATAACGTCGGTTCCGACCACGCGTCACTATTATGTCCACAGAAAAATGTAGTATAGTTACATACAATTTGAAAATAAAAATCTTTTTAAATATAATATAAACTCCACAGATCAATGTATTATCAGATAGCCAACCTTATTTCTTTGAAAATGAAAATTTTAAGTTGATTTGTAGTTTTCCGTAGAAAACTGACGGATAGTCAGAAACGATACTATGATCTTATAATTTTTTTCTTAAAAAAATTAACTTTGGAAAGTTTGGTGTAAACACAAAAATTAAATCCGTCACTTTACCGACTGATTAATTTGAAATTTAAAAGACATGGATTTTTTTTAATGCAGCCGTAATATTTAGTGAATATAATATAATTATATTATCCAAATATGATAAAAAGTGGATTTTGGATTTTTTGCAAATCCGACATTGTTCTACGATCACGACGATATTAGGACTCGGTACTTTAAAACATCTACAATGCTTTTACTTTATTAGATTTTCACGAAGTATTAGTCATAACAAATCTGGGTTCTTTGGTTCACGAACGACTTGAGTCGTCAGTAGCAGTAGTCTGTTGAATGTGAAGGGGACTGATGAAGCTGGGACAGCGTATACTACTTCCGGGTATACTGCATCTACAGGAGTCTCTTCTGTTAGGCGTATTACGAAAACTTTTTTTTGCCGCTGAGCCAGTAGACATCCTATTGTTCTAATTTAAATATAAATAATTTTATCATGGTTATGATTATTATCGATATTAATCACTTGATGTCCAATAGTCATAATAACAGCTTTGCACCGTCTTTTTCCTGAGCTTGAGCAGACCCATCGATTCTTCGGCCCGTTACTTGTATGACGATGGAGGGTGAACTTATAACCTTGGTATTGAAGCATTTTGTTCCCTTTGCGTGATAATACGTACTTTATTTCATCTGAAACGTTAGACATTTTACAAATACATTTAACTTTAGTAAATTATACTTAATTTTAACCTTCTAGATGCCTATGTGTGCCCGAAACAAAGTTATGTATAACACAGTTTTATGCATTTTTAGATATCGCTTTATCGTGTTCCTTGGTGTCTTAAACGTATTTTAATCATGCATTTCCACAATATATACCGCTATATGGGAGGACCGAGTATTAAAATTCATTATTTGCAACAAATATTTATTTATTAGAATTTGTCGTCAAAATTAAAAACTTGGTCTAGTTTGGTTACAGTTGTAATAATCGCAGATATTTTTAAGAATATTAACGCATTTCAAAGAATACCTTCGACATTATTCCACTAAGCAATCAAGCATATAAGGAAATCGTTCATCTATTTAATTTACCTTTTCGTTTGTTTGCCTGAGTGATAGACGGACCGCATGTTTCAGTCGATACCGGCTGCTCTAAGCAGTCGCCACACGGCGAACTGCATTTCAAATGCTGCATATTAAATTCATATCCGCAATACACGGACCGCACGACCAATTTCTCAGCGGTCGGAGCAGTCGCTCTCCGGTCGAGTTTCGCTGTGCGGTCGACTGCTTAGAGCTGCCGGACACACCATACACGGACCGCTACAAGCGGTGGTTGCGGACCGCGCGCCTCTCCCTCAAATAAAATAAAATACTAAGTAATTCTATCAAATGAAACCACGGACATTCTAAAGTAGTTGCAAAATATTTTTGTGTCTTCTCTCAGCTGGGGATACTGTTCTCTTGATTGCAGTATTAGACGCACCCACGTACTACGGTGGAACATAAGATACATGTATCACTTATTCCACGTCATTAAATTTCAAATTGTAGGCATCCCTACTCATCGGCAAAGAAGACAGAGGGTGTAGGCCGAGAGAAAAAGATGCGTTAAAAAACTCTCGGTACTCTTTTATCTTTATCGTTTCTTCATCGAATTCCATCTTGTAAATGAACTCGCATCAGTATTATTTTGCGGTCGAATACTGCTAACTGCTCCAAGGAGTCGTAGCCGACTGCATTATGTCGTACTTGACTTCAACACGTCCGCTCTACAGCAGTCGGTCGTGACTGCAACATGCGGTCCGTCTATGGCCAGCTTTATTAACGACTTATGTTTTTTTGAATATTAAAATAATTAATTAAAGGTGTTTAGAAAGATTATTGGTATTATTTTTATAGAACAGGGGGCAAACGGGCTCACCTTATGTTAAGTAATATATCGCTGCCTTGGACCCTCAATGCCAGAGGTCATTTGAAAAATTTGAAGATTTATAAAATTCGAATTGGTTCGGAAATACTTCAGTGGGTAGCTGGGTACATAGTGGAAGGACGGAGGTCGAGGTGAGTATATGTTTAAAAAAAATTTGGCATATGGTTGTGAGAATTAATGATCCGGACGATTTCATCATTAACAGTGATAAGACGTGCTTTGCATAGTCGGCTCCGAGTGCTTGTACAAATCCAATACATTTTGATACTACCACTTCGGGCTTTATTAATACTGAAATTATATCCATTATATTCTATCATCCTGTTGCCCCTTGGTGAAAGCTTGTACTGTACTCTACCTGTGAACACAGCAGACATTATTTGGGGCCAAGTAATAATATCCTAACCATATCAGTTTTTCCGCCTCGGGATACAGATTTTCCTTAAGTTAATTATGCACATATCAACTAACATATGGCGTTCCAACAAACAGAAATCCTCGGAGCAGTAAGGTCGTTCCGTGAAGCCTGCCCTGAAGAACAGACTGGGTGCGAAGTGCCCACGAAAATTCTGAGCTTCTACCTCTGACAAAATGGGCGTCTAAGTGCGGAAACTACGTCCACACTACATACACAATAGTAGATTAGTTCAAAAGGAATTGGTAGGCTTTTACGTTGAAGGAACCTCTGTTGAATTGGTTCGGAAATACACAATTTAGTGGGTAGCTGGTTCCACATAGTTGTGGTGCGCGGCAAAAAGTCTGTCTTAAGAAGCGTTCAATTGAACGACGACATTAGTGACCCCCCCTCCTCAATGTAACGCGACCGCTGCGTGACCACCTAGTGACTCTTTATACCTAAAATTACCATTATGTGGTGTAAAGAACTGGAGAGTCGAAAATAATAAAATTCGTTACATAATACTTGAATAGGCATAAAAACATTTTAGGTAAAATTTATCTTTATTTACATAATATACACATACGTTTATAAAATTTCATTAGATAACCACAAAGGTAAACACTTAAAACTGATAGTGGGTGTGTACATTATTGTAGCTTATTACTTCATCATTTTTAGTAACAACAAAAGCTTTACACTTCCGACTTTTTGCGCTGGAACATCTCCAGCGTGTTATCATTGATTTCTTGCTAACTCGATTAAAATAAAAGTGAAAACCATCACAATCTATCATCGTATTGCCACGGCATGAAGTTACGAATTTGAATTTCTCTGAAAATAAAACATATATTAATTAAAATAAATAGCTAAGCCGATTTTAAAATTGAAAGAGCTAACATATTTCTATTAAATTATTTGTAATTGTTTTTGATTAAAAATGCCAAATTCCAATACAAACAAATCTAATCAAAATAACAGAAATTAGTCTTACTCGGGGAACTAAATTCTCCACGAACTAAAACTCCATTCTCCAATACTCCTAAGACTTTTACAATTTTAAATTTAACATAAATGACAGTTTTAACGATAATATTTCACTGTTGACACTTAGATACAAATACAGGAAACATTTACAACAAGTAATAAATCCAGGAAAGGCTAGTTACCAGATAGCGGCCTGAGCTTTACTATTTTTAGAAGTGAAAAAACTAAATTATCGTAAAAGAAATGAAAAAATATATTATTTTTTTTACCTTTAAAACATGTGACGCAAAGGTTTTGGTTGTTCCTGCAAAAAAAAATTATTTTTCTAACTTTTCTATTTTCTTAGGTACTACTCAATGTTCAGCGCAGTCTTTCTAAGCACGTTGCACAATTTCTCCGGTTAGCGCTCATCAAAGCCATGAACAAATCATTTCAGAAAATCATGTCAAATCCAAGTTATGTAACCTAACGTTAGTTAAGTTAGATATAATTTTTTTAGTTAGTAAATATAAGCGTAAACAAAATTCACATTCACACACTTGAAGCCAACATTTAAGCTCTTTAATTGTTACGCAGCTTGAAAGAAAGTATTTTATTTGAACATATCCATACAAAAAATTTGCACCTAACTTAAGTAATTCCCTTAGATAGGATGTTTCTTAATAACGTGTGATATTAAACAGATCAGTTTTACGACAGGATTCACTGTAGGAAACTAATAAATAGGTTCTCAAATGAAATTAAAAAGTTCACGTAGAACGCTTTCATAAGGTAAGGTTTTGATAAAAGTATCAGGTTATTTGATTGCATGTGTGTGCGTTTACCTATACACTATTCTTGTCCGCAGCTTTTAACTTTTATTTCATCTGATATGTTATGATGAATAAAGCAATTTATCTGATACAGATTTAAAATATCACCTTCCCCGGTACTGTAATTTCAAATAGCTATTCCGACTTCAATCATTTTTTGCACCTTTGAGAACTACGTACATAAACGACGCTATCGTTTTTGGTCTCATAATACCACGGCCGTGGTGGACATCAAAATTATATTGATATAGAAACTAAGCCGCCAAGATCGATTCGGCTTAAACAACAATGTAAATACAGAGAAGTGGAGGACGCACAAAATATGCAAATCTATTTAAATTTACAATAAAATATACATATAATTAATAGTTTATTTACTTCAGATTATATTCATATTTTTGATTTATTTATTTCAGTTTTGGTTCGGATTAGTAACCATTTGGCCTTAGATGCTATGATAGTATTAGTAAACAAAGCAAAAGAAACTTTATTTCAATACAATGGGTCATGTGTATGTGTCATATTGAAACGTGCTACTTCATCATTTACAGTAACCATAAAAGCTCTACATTTTCGACTTTTTGCACTTGAACACACCCAACGTTTCATCACACCGTTAGTATCACAAGACCGAAAATTATAATGGAATCCTTCATGCTCTATCATTGTATTACCACGACGCGAAGTAATAAATTTGATATGACCTGAAAACAACAATATATAGTATTACTAGCAGAATCGACCAAGCATTGCTGAGGCTAAGGTTTTTGTTATATTACATTTATTTTAGTATTATACAGTATATATATATATAATATATTATTACAGTAGTAAACTATTCAAGGGAAACCGTAGAACACCACCGTTTTTTTGTGGTTATGCCATTAAATTGTAAAATGCTTATGTGAAACGTTGGTACTTTCAACACAGCGCCATCTGTTATCAAATAATTTGCAATAAAATAATATTGCGGGTATAAATTAAGATGTTAGCTATCTTTTAAGTTAGATTAGACTGCACACGGTGTGAAAATTTGATTGAAATCGGTTAAGTAGTTTAGAAGTCCATAGCGGACAAACAACGTGGCTTAGTAGTCGCTCGGTTTCCGTAACAATCTTGGCTGTGCGCAATAAGAGGGCCGCGCACACCAACTGCCCACTGAAGTATTTCCGAACCCATTTGACTTAAGGTCCTTCAAGATAAAAGCGTAAAGCAAATTCCTAACAGGCTTATTTGCGAGCCTCCTGGCAGTTTAAGCAGTGAAGGAACAGCGGTATCACTTAACATCTTTTAATCTTACGCTTTGAAACAGTAAGTAAATTTTCAAAACGTGAAATTAAAAATAATTTCAAATTTTTCATTTTTAAATTAAAAATATTGAAAGATGAAAAAGTTACATTCAAATTCCAAATTATTTTAATAAATTTTTTGAAGCGCCTCCCCTTAACAATAGAATTGCCCACTATGGGGCGTAGGCCCGTTGGGAAACACTGATATAGGTATTCTCAGATTTCGATTTTTGAAAACTTTTCCTGTTTGCATTTCAATTATATTACGAAAGGGCTAATGATAGAACCGTATTACAGTATAAAGTTCATATTTTATAACACATTTATCAGCACAGCAATATGTATGGATGTCGCAGCCAACTAGCTTAAGTAGCCAGTTTATTAAATGTTGTTACATACGCTACGGCTGAACATCTTTCAGGCCGCTAGTTAACGGCGCCGTTTAGTAAACGGCTAGGTTATTAATTGAACGGCTAATTGAGGTAGTTAGCTGCGACATGGATACCTTATTATATATTATATTGTATAATTGTGAGGGTCCGACGAACGAACATTTAACACAGCCACAGCTACAAGAATCACACTTACGTATTAATCCTAGTAATGTTCATTTCTCTAACTTATATATTATTCCACTTTGTTAATAAAAACGAATAATCACATATTTGAAGAAACATTTTTATTTCTAAAACAAAATCTCTTATTACAAGATAAATTAAATTTTTGGCTTTTATTTGGTTTCGGATTTAAGATATTAATGAATTCCGCTTTAGTTCA